AGGACTTTTGGAGACCAAGCTCTGTGTGACAGAGCTCTCTGGAACTGCACCAGGTAGGACACCTGTGTGTGGAGACAGACATGGCCAGCATGAACACATTCCTGCCACAGGGGGCACTTCAAGGCATCACTAAGCTGGAATGAGCCTGTTAACATGTGGTGTATTTATCTTTCTAGAGGATGCCCTGACATTTTTATGGACTGCCAAATCTATCCCACGGGTGAAAAAGGATGCAGTAACGAGGACTGTGTAGTTATACAGTCACCATGAGCCATCATTTCAATAAGATACTGAAAAGTGGTGCCCTCGTGCCAGGGCACCATGAAGAACGTAGCAGTGTTTCCGCTGTGAAATTTGGTTTTTTCTGAGTTCACAGCCCAGCTACAAAAGTTCACTCGGAGCTGGAAATGGGAACAAGTTCCCAAAGAGGAACACAAATTTGGAAGCCAGATTTTCTCTTTTCTCCCACCTTTGCTCTCACTCAACTGCTGCTTCCCAGTTACCAACTCCTGTACTGCCAAGAGAAAGGTGTAGGATGTGGTTCTCTGCTTTGAAAGAGCACAGGACCCACTGCCAAACTAGTTCTACTAATTCCTTCAGCAAAGCAGGTAAGGTCACATGAGCTAGCAACTTGATCTAAAACAGCAGCAAGTCCACCACTGTGATTAAAGCCAGCAGCTGCTCCAATACAGAACTCCTCTGGAAGCAGCAATGGTGCATGCTGAGGATCTGACTTGCGTGTGGGCTTCACGATCTGAAAACCACAAACCTGCACACTGCACATGGTAAGTGTGCTACACAGTGGGCACAGCAACTGTCTTCTACATGTTTGAAGAGGAAAGACCAGAGCAGGGTGAAAACCAAACCCAGCCTCTAAGGGGAAGCTAGCACAAGCCAAGCAAGTTAAGGGGGTACAGCAAAATAACCCCAAACCAACATAAAACCCAGCCAAAAAAAAGGCTTAAACCAAAACCAAACCCCAAACCCCCACGCTCTCACTGTCTCCCGACTGACTGTTTGTAAGGCTCTGGTTGCAGAAGAGCCCTGCTGTTACTGGTGCTCAGAGGGGCCAGCATTTGGCCCAGACTGGCCCCTGCAGGCTCATGGCAGCTGCTGAGGTGCTGCCTGCCCCGTGCACTGCTCCCTTTGCCCAGTGTGTGTGGGCACCTCACACCACAACAAAGCCAAGAAAGGCCTTTCAAAAGGGAGGAGAACACAGTTGTTCTAAAACCACAAGAATTGGCCTAGGGGCAGGTGTAATAGCTGAAGTTACTTGAAATTCAGTCAATAAAAAAGAGTTTAAAGTAATATCTCTTACTATAACATCATTAGAGGGACCTTCCAACCCGAGTCGAGTTTTTTAAATGACTCATTTGCAAGACACGTTCCTTAAGCGACGCTGGGATTAAAAATGCTTTCAGAAGCAAACCTAGTCTGCTTCTGGGGCTTTTCTCTTTCCCCTCTCTTTCTCTCTCAGGGCTGTTTCTGTCATCCTGGAAATGTCCTTGCAGCAGTGACGAGAGCTGACACAGAAATCACAGCTGAACATCCCGTGACTCAAACACACAGCAACAAATGAGAGCAGGTAAGC